CAGAGATGTCTTGCAGGAAGTGAGTCTTGCCAGCTAAAGCAGGGAACTGGCTATTGCAGCTGCACCCTGGTCCAACCATCAGAAAGCAAGACACCCGATAACTCGAAAGGCGAGTCTCACCGAGCCATTTATCCCTCCGCCCTTCAGTTAACCCCATATGTGTTTATCGGCCAGGTTGGCACAATAAACTAACTACCTCAGTCACACAGGATGAAATCCAGAAAATATTGTGATACTAAGAGAAAGAAAGACTTCGGTGTCATTATTTATAATAACTTCCTTTGTTCTAAAATTTATATTCTAACAGCTTCTTAATAGTTGAAAGAGCAATTTGTATCATTAAAGTTTTTACAGCTTATGAAATAATGTTGTTTAAAATTAATATATATGTACTAGACCCCATACAATTTCACTTGTCTAAAAGCCCAGATACATTTTATTATTTAGGATATTGTTAGATACTCATAAATATTACAAGTATTTTTTCATAATTTCTGGGGTTTTTTTCGTCCATAAGAAATTCCTAGTAAATAAATGTACAATACAAATTATAGAATGTATAAAACCTTAAAAAAGTTCAGTCTAATTAAAAATAAATTAATAGATAAATACTTTTCATTTTTTTAATGGTGATGCTTTAGAATATCAGTTTCATATGTTACTTTCATTGTAATTTAAGAATATACCAATATATCCTTTTGCACCAAGGAGAAAGTCCCAGAGTAGTGTCTTTTTGCAATCAATATTCTCAATTGAAATATTCACATAAAAATACCAGGGGTCACTATGTGATTTTAAAACATACAAGGTTTCAAAAGTTAACAGAAAAAAATGGAATTGAAAGTATTGGAAACTTTTCACAAGCTATTTGAAGCTTTTTATACTATCCAATAGTCACTAAGCTTTAAAGACTGTGGAATAATTAAGAAGAATATGCAATGTTATTCATATCATTAAGATCCATCGAATAATTTCTAAGTCATAGTAACTCCATGTGCCATTGTTAAATTATGGCTTATATTTATTTGTATACACTCTTGGTAGGTTTTGTAACATCCAGTCGACTAAGTGATTTGTTTTGAAATCCATGGAAGATATTTTAGACTGAGAATAAAACCAACATTTGGAAAATAGTCTAATGTTTATACTTATTCTCCAAGAAAATTAGGTTATACATAATGAGACAATCCACTTCTTCTTTTTTAATTTGAGATATATTTCCTAAATACTGGAATTATTTGTGGCAAATTTCCCTTAATAAATTCTCATTACTTGATTACAGGTTGAATATTTTACACATTTAAATCAATTAGATTCCTGATTATTTTGATTGCTAGAAATTCTTAAACGTATACATTACCCACTGATGTATTCAGTTTCCTCAATCATACACCTGTGATTTAAAATTTTAATTCACAGGAAAGTCAGCAGTATTTCATTATCCTTTTTTGTTTTTTTAGGAACTTTGTTTCAGCTTCTAGGGGGAAAATGGGAGTCATTTAATAGATTTGATGTAGATAACACAGTATGCTGACCCAGTGTTAGCATTTAACTTATTAATCAGTTTCAGAAATGAAGCTAATAAAATAGATTCACTCATACATATTAGCCACTGCGGTATACATACGTATATATTTGGACTTACCATCTAAATGTTAGTATCTAACTTCTGCAATTGTTTGGCGACTAGGTTGCCCTTTGGTTTATAAGGGCAGGCTTTTAAAACCTTATGTCAGTGTAACAACTTTGAAATTTAAGTCCTGCCATCTCTGTTGGAACACACCAAAGTTAAACTCTTGCCTCAATTTTGCTTAGATTTTTATGAGACTCTAATCTGTGTTTTAGTCTGTCTGATGACATTTAAAGGGGAAAAAAGTAAAATTATCTTTTTTATTATACCTATTGCCAGACATTTTCATACTTTGTGTCAGGGCAAACCATTCACTTGGGATGATCCACTTCATTTATTACTTGAACAAAATTTCCAATTCGGTGATGTTTTTGAATATATCTTGAACATTGAACATTGAACAAAATTTCCAATTCGGTGATGTTTTTTATTATATCTTCTTCTCAACTCCACAAAGAAGGAGAAATTGAATTTTTTGGCACTGGGTTTTTAAATTGTGGTGTTCAAAACAATTGTAGACATTCAGAAATCTAAGTTTTCACTGGTGACATTTTCCATAGCTTCCTTAAGGTCTATCTTAGATTTACTGTAGTAACTTTTTCATGTTTTAGATCAGCATTTTCACTGTCTATGTGTTTGCTGGTGGGCAGAGTGCAGAACAGAGTACCTCTTCCGAAGGTCCTCAAGTGTTTAGATTTTAGATTCATATTTAATTGTTTTACTTGGTTTTGAGATCTGGATACTTCTGAAATAAAATGACAGCGGGAAAATTTTTGTTGTTGCCTTTTTGTTTTATTTTGTTTTGATCTAGTTAACCTATGCTAAGTATTTTATAAGCCTATAAGAAAAGTTAACTTCTTTTGTGCAGAAAATATTTAATTAACCTTGTATGAAACTTCTGAGATTGCTATCATTGTTTGTCTGGTGGGGGGGTGTTGGATTTCAGAAGAGTTACCCATAGCCCCAGAACTGATGAGAGTGGTTCACTGTGCCTAAACTATTTGTACAAACCATGGGATTTATACACGCTTTGTTTCTGGGTGTATGTAATTTTCCATCTCTGAGATTAGAGTCTGTAACGAGCTTCCTTGCCAGACATTCATTCCACACGTGTTTTAACAAATCATTGCCAGTGGTGGCGCTGTGGGGTACGTGCTGACCACAAGATCTGCAGTGCAAACCTACTCTATGGGAGAAAGATGAAGCTATCGTCAAATATTTACAGCCTCTGAAACTTTAGATAGATAGGGTCATTGTAAGTCAGAATTAACCTGATGGCAGTTTACCTCCCACAACCCTTTTCCAGGGGTGGGGTGTTGCACGGAAGAGGATTATTGGAGTTTACAGGTTTCCTTTGGACAGTTGTATGCACTTGTATGATTTGCTGATTTTTCTTTCTTTCTTTCCTTAATCATCACTTCCTTTTCTTTCTACTTCCGTTCCTACCTACATCCTTTTCTTCATCTCTTCCTCCCTCCCCACCTCCTGTTTTTTAAATTGGTTTAGGCTCTAATAAAACATAGCCATGAGTCTAGCAATATGTTAAGTCCTGTGGGTATTTCTAGCGAATCACTGACCCTCGGGGGTTCTTTCAACCCCATGATACAAGTATTCTCGCCGAATTTGATTACAGTGATCTACCATAAATCTATTTTAAAAATAAGAAATGTATGTAGTACTTTGGATGATGCCATGTTTTAAAAAACCTGGTAAAATAAATAAACTTTTTTTTTTAATGAAGTTTCCCAATGTTTCATTTCAAGTGCTTCTGAACAGCAAAATATATATTAACAGTAGTGTGGCTTTATTTAAAAAGTATGTGTTCTTTTCAAAACATTAATCTCAAACTAGTTTATGTGATAGTATACACATTTATTGATGTGCTTTCTGAAATGCCCACATAGCAATTTTGTTGAAAATGTAATGTATTTTGATATTATATGTGATTTCTCTTGAAGTATTATAAAGTCTTTGCTTTTATTATTTTAATAGGAATTACTTTCCTTAAGCCCTGAATGTGTATGCATTAATGACATCATAAGTAATCTACCCCCATCAATGTTTGGGCCCAACAACTTAAAACTTCCTTGCTCTCTTTTACACCTATAGATATATGTATATATATGATGCTAGGATCTCCATGCTTTTTCTTTGTGTTGATTTTTAAAATTTCTGTAAGTTTTCAAAATCCAAAGTAACCTATTTAAAGCAGTTTACAGTTAAAATTCTGGTGTTGGCTGTGATGACTTAATCTCTACGTATGTCAGACTGCCCTTTAATATATGGAGATTTTAAAAATATACATACATTTCCAGTGGGTTAAAGATTTGTGTACACTATTACAGCTGTGTCATTAAACTAAATGAGGTATTAAAGTCTTAAAATCACTGCTATAATAAGATAGAGAATTCAACCATAACTGTTTGACTAAAAAAAAAAAATACTAATTGACGATGCCCTCTTTTCAATTGTCCAAAATAGACTTATTTCGTGTGGTGTTTGTAATTGAGTTGTACTGCTCTTCGCTTTCTTTCTGTTTTTATGGATATAGAGATTCTTTAACTTGTAGAACTTTCTACTTTGCTAAACATATGTATTGTTTTGTTTGTAATAGATTTTGGTTTTTTCACAACATGTCCAGTAATGTGATATTACACAACACGAGATTGATTTTTTTATGTCCTTTTTCTTTTACATTTTATTTTGAGATGAATCTGTTTAAAATTGTAACATGAGAACATAATTTAAAAAGGCAAACAATTGAGTTCAATTATTTTACTAACAATGTGTTTTTTAAAAAGAAAGTCAAATAGTTATCTTTATATTACATGAAAAGTGTCCAGGGAATGCAGACACTGGTAACAAGCATTTTATTGAACATTTTTAAATAATAATGTTAATTATTCTGTTTGCTGGGGACAACATATTGAACAAGAAATAATCCCTGTCCTTAGTGCCAGATGTTCACAATGTTTTCCACTCCTCAGTTTTCGTCTGATTTTTAATGATACTTATGGCTAAAGGAAATTAAATAAACTTGCCTTTTAAAAGGAGTTTCATCAAGCAAATTAAGTGTACGACAATATAGTTTTATATGTATTTAGATATCATTTGTATTTTTGATATTTATTGAATCAAACATCATAATTCTTGATATTAGGCCCTTTATAATTGTGACTAATTAGATGACCCAGTAGTGGGCAGTGCTTTGTTCTGTTGGATGTAGGTGGCAGTGGGTCAGAACCAACTCCACAGCACCTGATCACAAGGCCGTCATCCCGATCATTAAGCTTGTAGCACCTGATACATTGTGATTAAGCAACACACTCTCTAAACATTGTGCTGAAATATGTATTTCTTAATATTGTAGCTGGGAAGTTTTAAGATTTCTTCTGTCAAACATAAGATGGTGGTTGGAAGAATATGCCTTTGATGGATTTCGCTTTGATGGTGTTACGTCCATGCTCTATCATCACCATGGAATGGGTAAGTTTCGGATCTTCATAAATTCCTTTGCTTTGTTTTTTATTTTGTTCTTATTGAACATTGGTCTTCAAGTGTGGTATCCATGACAATGGTTGTAATCGCCATTATTATTGGCTTGACCCTTTATGTATGTCCTTTCCATAGGGTATGCTGGTCCCTTTGGGGGAAGATGTGGGGTGTGAAAAATTTTATTAATAAATTAATGATTTAGCTTAAAATATATCTATGTTCATGCTTTCATTTAAATGTAAGGAAACTATCAGAACCTCAAGGAGGTAAATCTGGCAGCATTTACAATGAAATATAAATAATAAAAATACCAAAGCGCACTTTTATGAGTGAATGAATTCCTTTGTACATTATATTCAGATGAAAATATATAAAACTTAAATCATGAATTTTCACTTAAATGTTGGTCGGGAATTTTTATTCTAAAACTTGTAACAAGAAAGGTAACCCTATAATCTTAATTGCTTAACATATGATATAGTGAATTATTTTGTGTTGTATTGTTTTTAATGCTAAAAAATTCTGTAATGTTCACTCATCAAGAACAATGTGAATGACTCTAAACTTGACATCTTGAAAACTGGCTGTCAAGAAAGAAGCTGAAAATAGCAGTGCAGCTAAGTTTGAAGTTTGGAGCCACTTGTTCTCAATCATGGTGCCCTTTCTATGAGAAATTTGTGGGTCACAAGTTGAATTCATGAAAGGTGATGGGTCTCTAATATCGCCCACTTGAAAAGCAAACACAGCTAAAGTCAGGAAAATCTTTCATATACCAAAATCCCTGCATGCCCCAGCAGAACCATCTTATCTTCAGGTCTGGGTACACACTGAGAACTATGCTGAGTTGGGAAAATTAATTGAATACCATGGAAAAGTGATGTGTAGACAGCCCAAAAAGTGGTGAAGATAAGAAACATAAAGGTATTCAGAGGTATATAACAGATTTTTATTTGCGGAATGAGAAATAACTATAATCAGATATAAAGAGAATATGAGAAAATGAGAAAAACTGTATATCAAAAGAAGACAAAATACACCAAGAATAATTGAGTTAAAATAATTAACATTGAGGCACAGTATATTCAATTTATTTTAAAAAACAAAAACACTGAGAAAGAGAATTCATCTTAAAACTTAAGAAATATATTCCTGAGGTTTTCATAAAAGCAAATGATATTTTATCATCACTAGAAAGAATGCCTACCTTGGGCATTATAGCTCTTTTAAAACTATTTATATGGACCAACGTGACAGAAGCAATTTGAAAGATAGGATAGGAAATTTAGGGAGCAATGAGTTTATGCTAATGGGAAGATGAGAATGGTTGCCTAACTCATAGATGGTAATAAGTGTCATCACATGTGACAGGTAGAAATTGTTAGATTGGTGGATGTTTAGCTGTGTCTAGTCTCAAGAACAATAAGATGAAATTTAATATAACAGAGAAAGAATTCATCACGAAGCATCCGCAGAAAAAAATAATTTATTTGCAAAGATTTTTTAAATGGCACTAATGACTACCAAAATGTCAGGGAAAATGAGTGTGATTCAAGTGTTTGAGATTTGACTTCTGGAAAGTTGGTGAAATAGGCAGACATGCTATGCAGACCCTCTACAACAAAGGCATGAGACACCAAATGAAACATGATAATTCTAGGACCCTGAGCGGAAAGATTAGAAAAGTGGCTTTAATACCAAGAGGAGGGAAAGCTGAACAAAAGCCATGAGAGAAGAGACAGATGTGTAAATGTGTTGTCCGCTAGCCTGATATGGTGCAGCCATCTGGAACTATGATAAGTAGCATGTTACTGAGACAGCAGCAGCCTGGCATACCAGTTACTGACAATGAAGAAAGTGGGGCTTCCCTGCTTCTTATACCTTCCTTGTGATCAGAAGCTTGCCCTATCTGCCCAGTGGCCAGTGATATGCCCTACCCTTACACAGCTACTGTTCTGACTGAGGCTGGGGTCACGTATTCTTGGACCCAGTTCAGGGAACACCATACCCAACTCTGAAAATGTAAGAACTTCACCCAATCAAACCAACAGAGTGTCCAGGGGTGTATCCTTGGCCAGCTATGCTGCCCCCAGCGTTCCCCTAGGGCCAAAATATTTCTGCCAAGAATCAAGCCCCCTGACCTCCCTCATCACCTGAGTCAGTATTAATTACTTCCGGATCAAGTTCCAGATCAGGTGCTGCAAGACAACGTGCACGATGGCAGGATGTCCATGTGTGACACCCCGGATCCCATGCCCCCCTCTGTTGTCAGAGGCGCTGACTCATTCACAGTGGACGCCATGCACCACGCAGTTTTCTCCTTTGTGGGGCGTGCACCTGTTCCAATCGTTGCCTTGCTTTATGGTTTCCCTCTTTTCTTACCCTTTAGTTTCTATTTTATTTCTCTAAACCCCCTTTTCCTTAACCATTATTTTCTCCATTCCTTTCTTCTCCATCCCTAATTTGGCACATATATATATAATTATTTTCTTCTTTTGTGCCCCCCTCCCCTTTACTTTTCTTTTTAGCGAGTAAATTGTTCTGTCTGGCTAAGGCTTGCCTGCTTTTTCGTGTTTGCTTTTTGTTGTTGATTCTTTACTCTATTTGCTGTTTTGCTCTGTTTTTTTTCCTTGCCCTAACTGACAAGACAACAATTGTGCGTACACATGCCAGTCACCCCTGAGCCTCTCTGGCAACCCACCTAATAGCCAGGGTCATTACCTAGCAGCCAAACTTTTTCTCAACTGGGCTACATGAACAGTGAGCAGAGGACTGTGCACATACTCACATTTCTATCACACGCACCTGAGGGCAGGTGGTGACTACCTAAGGACAGAACACACCAACAAAATACAAATACAACACTAAAGTATCTCTGAGACAAACATTTGGGGTTCACACAGAGAAACAAAATGGAGTGAATCAAACAAATGAACACAACATTGAGCCAACAGCTTTTTTAATGTAAGAAATGGCTTTGAAACTCCCTGACAAGGAATTCAAAAGAATGATATTTAAGTACTTTCAATAGACTGAAAGATTGAGAAAGCTGCATAAGACGTCAGACAAAGCACAGAAAAGCTGTAGAAAGTATCAGGAAAACACAAAAAGAAACTGATAAATGAAAAAAAAAGTCACTCAGCATAACTGTTTCCACTTGCTAACATATCATGAGGTGATGGGTGGTTTCAACATCGTTTTTTATTAAATCATAGTATTCCATTGTGTGTCTCTACCTGAGTTTCTTTATCTATGCTTCTCCTGATGGGAATTAGGTTGCTTCCAGCTTTTTGCTATTGTAGACTGCTGCTGTAAACATGGGGAGCGTATGTCTGTTCGTTTTCTTTCTCTTGCTACTTGGGGTATCTGGTTAAAGAGATCTTGTTGGGTCATAGAGTCTTTGTACTCTTAGGTGTTTCAGATAATGCCATGGCATTTTCCATAATGTTTGCACGTGTTTGTCATTCCACCAGTAGTTCAATCTCTCTACACCCTCTCCAGCATTTGTTGCTCTGTTTGGTTTTTTGTATTTTTTAATTTTGCTATCAATGTGGGTGTAAGGCATTCTCCCGTCATTGTTTTTACTTCATTCTCCCGAAAAGCTAGTGATTGTAATGTAAGCATTTTCTCACGTATTTGTTTGCCATTTGTGTGTCTTCTCTGGTGAATTCTGTGCTCATGCCTGTTGCCCACTTTTTAATTGAATTTTTTTCTTCTTATTATTGAGATGTTGCTGCATTCTGTCTGTTGTGTCATTGTTAAAGATATTTTCTCATTCTGTGAGATTTCGTTTTACTCTTTTGATGAAATACTTTTGAAGTGCATAAGTGTTTTATTATAATACATCCTAGGTATTTTTTTTGTTTTCTGCTACGTGTGATGCTTCCTTTATTATACATGATAGTCTGTGTATGTCTCATGACATGGAAGGAACTGGAAACAGTTATGCTAAGTAAAATTAGTCACTCACAAAGGGATAAATATATTTGTTTAATAATTTTATTGGGGGCTCATACAGCTCTTATCACACTCCATTGTGTCAAGCACATTTGTACCTTTGTTGCTATCGTTTTCAAAACATTTTCATTCTACTTGAGCCCTTGGTATCAGCTCCTCATTTTTTACCTCCCTCCCCCACTCTACCTCACTCATGAACCCTTGATAATTTATAAATTATTGTTTTTTCATGTCTTACACTGACCAATGTCTCCCTTCACCCAAATAATCCCCCTGGGAGGGGATTATATTATAGATCATTGTGATCGGTTCCCCCTTTCTTTTTCTACCTTCCTCTTCCCCTCTTGGTATCGCTACTCTCATAATTGGTCCTGAAGGGGTTATCTGTCCTGGATTCCCTGTGTTTCTAGCTCTTATCTGTACATGCTCTGGTCTAGCCGGATATGTAAGGTTGAATTGGGGTCATGATAGTGGGAGGGAGGGAACATTAAAGAACTAGAGGAAAGTTGTGTGTTTCAACCATTCTATACTGCACCCTGACTGGCTTATATCTTCCTTGTGACCCTGCTGTAAGAGTATGTCAAATTGTCTACAGATGGGCTTTGGGTCTCCTTACTCATTCACAATGATATGATTTTTTGTTCTGAGTCTTCGTTGCCTGACACCTGCTTCCATCGAACCCTCATGATCACACAGGCCAGTGTGCTTCTTCCATGTAGACTTTGTTGCTTCTCAGCTTGAAGGCCATTTGTTTATTTTCAAGCCTTTAAGACCCAAGACACTATATCTTTTGATAGCCCGGCACCATCAGCTTTCTTCACCACATTTGCTTATGCACCCATTTTGCCATCAGCAGTCATGTCGAGAAGCTAAGCATCATGAAATGCCAGGTTATTAGAACCAAGTGTTCTTGCATTGAGAGAGTACTTGAGTAGACACCCAATGTCCATCTGCTACCTGAATACTAAACCTATCATTATATATAAATATATTTACATATATATGTGCCTGTACTTAGACCTCTATAAATGCCCTTTACCTCCTAGTTCTCTTCTCTATTTCCTTCTACTTTCTTCTTGAAGAATGAATGTTTTATGAGTCCACTACTCAAACTCAAACTCACTGCCACTGAGTCAATGCTAACTCATAGCGACCCCCTGTTTCCAAGACTGTAACTGTTTCTGGGAGTAGAAAGCCCAGTCTTTCTCCTGAGGAGCAATTTGTGGTTTCAAACTGCCTACCTTGCAATCACAGCTCAACACATAACCAATACACCACCAGGGCTCCTTAGTAGAGTAGAGTAAATCAAAACCAAGATAAAGATAGCCTTCTGTTCTAAGGGCATGTACTCTTTTGATCTGGGTTCCCAAGCAATGAGGTAGAGAGCCTGTCTAGCTCCCACAAACCATATACCATTCCTTTTACATGCACATCTTAAAATCCACTTCAACAAGAGAGACTTCACCTCAGCTGGGTTCAGTGTGTCAAGATGGAAAGGTAGAAGACCATTCAGTTGTTGCCATACAACATTGTGCTAAAGTCACCTCAAGTCAACAGACACTGCAGCAAGAGTTTTAAGGCAACCTTACTGGAGACTCAAGTTTAAAATCTAATTCCTTATCATTTGATTTCCCTTTTGACCCACTTTGGAGTGGTACCAGTTTTTCATATCTATTGCCTTCTTTTGAAATGAGATTTTTCTATGTTTTGTCTAATTGATCTTGTTGAATTTTTTTATATTGTTCATTTTATTATTGTTTGTATTATATATGTTATTTATTATTGTTTGTATTATATATGTTTTTGTGTGTGAAGCATGAGTCTATAAAGACCAGGGTGTGGAAAAATGTAACAACAACAAATTGTTCAGGAAAGAAAGTCCACTGTCATGAGATCTGACTGAGATAAGTGAGTGGTAAGCTGAATGCAGTAAGGCAGACGTCCTGAAGATAGTGTCTTGGGGAAGAGTCGGTATATAAGCCCTAAGATGGAAATGTTCTTGGCATTTACCACAAATGTTCGTGGCATTTACCAAAAAAAAAAGATAGAGCAACAATGTCTATCTTAATGAATTTGATAAGGAGAAAAACGCTTGTGAAGAATAAATCCAACTCTTATTAGTGATTATAACTGGAAGTGGGAATTGTGAGGGAATCTTATTAATGTTACACATTTATATAACATGCCAATTTTGTGTAACATATTCTATATTTACAACCAGAAAAATGAAAAGTTTTCGCTTTGATTTATGAACTAACACTTTAACTACCTGACTGAACGTAATGTTCCCTTTAAATATACTGTGTAGAGTGAAATGTTTGGTAATGGACATTGTATGGCATCTCTATTCATTGCATTTTCCTACAATCGCCACTGAGATCCAAAAGAGAAAAAAATGGTATTTAAATATATTTACAGAATTAAGACTAGTAGGTTAACACAAGTCATGTATATATTGATATTTCTGTTCTGTAGGTGAAGGCTTTTCAGGTGACTACCATGCATATTTTGGACTACAAGTGGATGAAGATGCCTTGATTTATCTCATGTTGGCAAATCATCTGGCTCACACATTGTATCCAGATTCCGTAACAATAGCTGAGGTAAAATCATGATGAACTTGTCATCATTTTAACACATTTTAATACTTTTGTGTCACAAATAATTGTATAGCTAGAGGTGTACCCATATTATAAAACAGCTAACCTGAAGGGTTGGCACATTATTTAGAATTTCTTGTTTTGTATTTGAAGATAATATATAATAATTTGTCACTATTGTATTATTAAAAGGAAAATGCCAATGGATAGAAAATAAAGCAGCTTAATCAGTGGACAGGTCCTCATCATGAGCCCTTTAGCAGAGAAAGGAATTAAATATCAACGTATGTCTATGTCCTTATTTATTTATTTTCTTCCTGGTCTAATCATTAGAGATCGCATGTATCATTTCCTGAGAGCTTCTTTGAAGCTGTTCTTATTCTGATGTGATTACCTTTCTTGTTTATGTTATTGCTTTCGGATTGCCAAATGTTCACCACGTATTCATGATTACTGAAAGTTCATGATTCACTGTCCCAAAGCTGCACTATAATGATATAAGTTGGTATATGCATAATTGACAATTCTCCTCTTGGTGATAAATATGATAAATTAAGAAGTTTGTTAAATGCTTATGCTAATTTAGATTTAGTACTAAAATCCCCCTGGTTTTCTGAGTCTTCTAGCTAAGAATTATTATGAAAATTGAATTGAACAAGTTGAAACTGTTCTATACAAACTAGCGTTGTTGCTATATAAAATTAATAAGACTATTCTTAGGTAGTCAAAGTGCATTTTCACATATGACGGTAGGAAATAGTATTTGGAGGTCACAGTCTCCTTCCTGCAGTATGGAGTATTTGGGTCGCCTTTCTACTATATGTTGGTTTTCGGAACCAAAACTTTCCAACTAGATGAATCCCTCTTTTTTTTTATTTTTTTATGTGCTAATGCTGACTCATAGCGACTCCCTGTGGGTTTCCCAGACTAACTGTTTACAGGAATAGAAAACCCAGTCTTTTTCTCACAATGCTGCTCGCGATATCAAAATGCCAACCATGCTGATCGAAGGCCAACACATAACCACTGCACCACCAGGGCTTCTCTTGTGAGAACAGACGACCACATTTTTCTCCCATGAGTCTGAATTAGCAAGTAGTAGCTAAGCACTTAGCCACTATGCCACCAGGGCTCCTTGGAAACAGCAGAACGCATCACCATAGAGTTAATTACAACTCACCGTGACCTTATAAAGTGGACAGTTTCCTAGGGTGACCAAGATTCGCAAGAGTAGATAGCTTGGTCTTTCTCCTCTTAAGCAGCTAGTGGTTCGAAGCCCTGAGCTCAAGGTTAGCAGCCCAGCATTTAAACCGCTATGCAACCAGAGCTCCTTGGCAGTACAGCAATAACCAACTAAACCCAGTGCCATTGAGTCCGTTCCGACTCATAGCAACCCTATAAGAGAGAAGAGCTGCCCTGTGGGTTTTCTGAGAATATCAATCTCAATGAGAGTAGATAACCGCATGTTTCCCCCACAGAATAGCTGGCATTTCAGGCAGCTGACCTTGCAGTTAGCAGCCTAATGTGTAGCCTACAAGAGGCTCTACATTCCTGAAATGAGTTTTTAAGTAGGATTAAAAGAAAAAGATGTAATACAATTTTGATGCTCAAAATCATGTTACACTTTCTCCCAAACTACACTTAACCATAACCTATAGCCCACTGCGATTGAGACATGGCAACCGTATGCTGGGTTCCCCAGGCTGCACACATTCAGAGTAGGCTAGCAATCACAGTGCATCAGGCTTTCAAATGGTTGGCTTTATGTGTTAAATATTGCTTATATAATAATAATGAGCATATTATAAAAATTTATTTTGCCATGTATGCATTTTATCTATCAAACATTAAAAAGTTCATTGTTTTGTCAGGTACATTTATAGAAATTCAAAGCAGATATATCATATATGACAAATTACTATAGACAATTAATTGCTGCAAAACATTTTAAAAGGTACTGAAGGAAAAATGATGCAATTATTTAATGCATGGAGTTTAAAATTGTTACATTGATCTTTCTTTTCATTTCAAGTAAAATAGTTTCATCATCTAGGGAGCTCTTGCTTGCTTATTAGTGTTTCCACCAATGAAACTTAGAAACTTTAGCCTACTTTATATTACTTGGTTTTAGATTTTTAAACAAGTTGTGTCTTCAATTTAGTCTACTTAAATTGAAAACGACTTCAATTTCAATACATCACTTTTCTGTCTAGTGGGAGTCTTTTCAAAAGTGGAATTGATCCTTATGAACATTTTTTTAAAGGAGAGGGATATGGAATAAAGAATAAGTAATACAATTTTATATGAAATCCTAGAGTCAAAATTTGAATTTTTTGTAATATAAAATTGAAACTTTTGTTTCCAAAATGTTTTTAACAGTCTACGTGGTTATGTGTATAGGATTAATAGGAAGCATTTTTTTATTGCAGGCTCCCCTTTGCAGTACTCATAAGTATTACTTAGTAAATAATTCAAGTGATTTTAACTTTATTTGGAACACATGTGTTAGGCCAAGTTGACTAGAGAAACACATATTATAAAATTCATGTCTAAGATAAAACTTTATATCAAGAATTAATTATATATCAAAAAGTATCCCAGCCCAGTTCAACTCAAGTCCAAAGTCCGCTTCTAGTCCATAAGTCCCTCTTCAGACTCACGCAGCCACATGCAATGATGCAGGAGGCAGGAAGAACACTGGCCATTGGTGGCAAAGTTTTATAGATCCATGCTTACTGGAAACATGATAGGACTCAAGCAACTCTCGGGGTGACCACAAAGCTGGAAGGTGAAGGCAGAGATCGAGAAGGTTCCGAGAGTCCTCCTTATGAGAAGGCCACACTTACAAGGAGGCACCATCAGGCAATGACCTGATTGACAGGTTGGATACCACCCCATACACTTTCATATATCAAGTTGACTTAAATGTATCTAACTACTACAACACGTAATGTTTTTATTATGCTATGACATTAGGAATCCATTTTTATATTTGTTTTGGTATCCTTTATATATTCTTTCTTTAAAAAATTTCAAATAACTCATTAAATCCAAGTCAGCGTGGAGTTAGACAGCATACTGGGATTCAGATTTAGAAGATCAGACCAATTGGTACCCAAATACTTTTCTTAGAAGACTGTTTTCTATCACACTAGCCCCTACAGAATCCTGCTAAGCTAAGTATAGAACACTCCTAAGTGTTTTTCTTGAAAGAAAATCTCTTGATCTTTAATACAACCTATCACTAGTCATTCTTGATTTAGGTTTTATGAGAGCTCTTGGAAAGTCAATTGTTCTGCCTTAATTAATATTCTGTATTTTACTTCTCTGGGTTCGAACACCCATTGCAGTGACTTCTAATATCCATTGCAGTGGCTACACAGAACTCACAGACAAAATTCACAATTAAAGGGTTTACTAAGGAAGTTAGTGATTGTAATACCAGAGAGTAAGGCTCAGAATAGTTGTTTAGCAGGTATATGTTAAAAGTTCTCTGGGTCTTCTAATAAATGCCCAAAAGGCATGCCACTCCACTGGAAGTGGCATGAACCCAAAGGTGTTCAGCTCAAGCTCTATAGGTGAACAAACCCAGTTCTTAAAATAAGTGCTAAGAGGTACCCCACCCACTCTTCAAAGCCAGCCTCCTGCACAAAAGCATTCAGCTCTACCTGTTCTGTGGGTTGGGAAGTCCGCCCCTCTGTTCCATGCTCGGACTCCTTGTTCTGTTGCTGTTTTAGGGATATTATTGCTGTCTTTGGATTCAGGAGGTTCACTGCTCATGAATCTTGGGTCCACAGTATGTGCTTCACTGCTGGCTCTTGCTAATAATGCAATCCTTCCGCCTACTTCTCAGAGGGCTCATTTTATACACAGCAGGATGGCATTCCAGGGAATCCTATTCCCAATTACTCACAGAAAAGACTAATTAAAACAAACTATCCTGAACTCCTTAATATATAATTATTGAATTAAGTCTTAAACTAAGAAATTTGAGTTTTGGATTATTAGCTACTGAAAGTTTTGAAAGGCAGTCATGAGACTTCCATAAGATTTTAATTTTGTAATATTTTGTGTAGAGAATGAAAACGAATTCCAATAGGAAACATAACAGTCTAGGGCAGCAATAATAATGATTAAATAGGACAGTGGCTATAGAAATGAACCAAAGGAAATGGAATTCTTTGAAAAGATGCTTTGAAATTAGAAGTAATATTACTGAACTCATATTTTGCATCAGTGGTTACAATAACTGACTTGATTACATCTGAGTCTTTATAACAGATATCAAAAGCTAAACCAAAACCTTTGCACTCTCATAGATTCCCAATCAGATTAGATTAGAACTGCCCATGGAGTTTCCATATCTATAGATCTTTACTGAAACAGGCTGCCACGTTTTTCTCCCAGAGCTGCTGGTGGGTTCAAACCACAAACCTTTTGATTACCTAACTACATAATCGCTGGGCCACTAGAGCTCTTCTATGAAATGGTTTAACTTGTGTTTTGGATGGATTATTTATTTGATTAGCAATAGTCGAGAGAAGGCAGGACAAACTAGACAGAATCTTTGCAAAAAGACTTAACACTAAAACCTATGTATCATTAGCAATTCAAAGGCACCAGCCACTCTTTCAGTGAAAGATGAGGTTTTCTACTCTTCTAAAGAATCGTATTCTCAGAAACCCACAGGGCAGTTCCACTCAGTCCTATAGAGTCACTAATGAGTTGGAATCAACTTGAAAGGAAAAAAAATGGATAAAGATGTTAAAAAGTGATGTGGGTGCCAAAAGTACACAGAGCTATTGAAATCACCATTATCAGCTGGCCAAGGCCAAAGCAGCTTATGCCAGACATACTTCCACCCTCCCAAGGCACTCTGTATAGGTGAATCCAATAACTCATTGTGATAGCCTCACTGAATTCACAGAGCATGCTCCAGTTATAGTTTATTAGGGAAGTTAACAGGTTGCAATTCAGGCAAGAAATAAAGTTGTTCAGTCAAGTAAGACAGGCCTCTCTCTGCCCCTTAGCCTCTTGACCTGGCCTCTACCCTGCTCAGACAATGTTACAAAGCTCCTCTGGAACTACCAATAAATACCAAAAGGGCAGGCCACTCAGTTATAAGCCTCAACCTGAAGGCACTCAACTCTAGCTCCCTGGGTGAGCAAGCTCAGCTTCCCCAATTTAGTGGCCAGAAGCACCCTACTCCACCAAGCATCTCCCTGCAAACAAAGTACTCAGCTTTACTTGTTTGGTGTGCTAGAAAGTCTCCAACTCTGGTCATGCTCTGAGTCCTGGCTCTACTATTGCTGCTTCTCTATCACTCCGCAGGTGTCAAAGCTGCCTGGAGATCAAGAAGGCTCAATGTGCAGGTATCTCAGGGTGCAAAGGACCCTGTGCTCCGCATCCAGCTTTTTCCCTCTCAGTAGTGTAGAGATTCTCTTTTCTGTTTCTGAGATGACTCAATTTGTATCCTGGATGGCAATCACAATTAATCCTGTTCATAATCATTCAGAGCTGAGTAATATAAACCAATCAGTATCTTTCCTCCCACCTTCTTATCCAGAGCCATCACAAGAGGAATACCATGTGGTGAGAATAGCAAAGGCTATGACTAAAAGAAGAGTATTAAATAATTCATTGTCTTGCAATAGCCAATGAAGCTATGCTTATAACAGTGAGCTCACAAATACGTTTCAAGAAGTAGGTGTTACTAATACTTACCTTTTTTTTTTTTCCTGTCCAGCTTATATTGTCAATGTCAACCTTTGGTAACTCCCTTTGTGTCAGAATAGAACTTCATTTCATAGGATTATTCTGAGATAGATTGCCCAGCATTTCTTAGATGGACTCAAACCTCCAACCTTTGTGTTATTAACCAAGAGGATTAACTGTTTTGCCCATCCAGGAAACCCCCTTATATTCTCTATGTGATGCTAATAAAATAATACCCTCAGATAGAACCTGACTTTCAGTGAAAATAATTAAACAGAAATCTTATTTTGAGATAAGATTCTTTATCACAATTTTATTTATTTCAGGTTCTTTTACCAAATATATATATCCTATTTAGTGTTGCTATCTATAATTCCTTTAAGTTTGGACCAGACTTTACTATTAGAAGAATGGAAGGATACTTAATAAAAGGCTGAGTCATGTGAACTGATCACTGTGATCTGCTTTGTTTCAGGATGTTTCAGGGATGCCAGCTCTGTGCTGTCCAATTTCCCAGGGCGGGGTTGGTTTTGACTATAGATTAGCCATGGCAATTCCAGATAAATGGATCCAGGTGAGTTTTAATGTGAATATTTAAAAATGCAAATACTATGTTTTGTGTTGTTGTTTATTTGGCAGTTTTTCAATTTATGTTTTAGTCATGATCATTAGTTACATGCAGTACAATTGAAGCATTAAATTATCCTATCAGTTTGTTGATTATTATGCTTATTTGCGTATTTCTAACTGTTTAATATATTCAAATTTATATTATTCAGGCAAGGTGAACAGATGACTAATATAATACTAATTTTTGAATGAAATTTTGTCTTATCCTTGCAATTATATGAAACTTCAATGCTCTCATTTTAAAACATATTAAACTTCCTGAAAACATCCCTTTCTGCCTTACAGATCATCACTTAATGTAGAAGTTACTCCTCAAGTCTCTGTATCTGCCTCAGATTATGGTCTTTCTTTAACAGATTTGGACTTATCCTTCATTCATTTCCTTCATTTAGCATTTAATTATCCCTATCATGATTTACACTTCAAATAAGTGTAAATCACAGCATAGAAATATTTTCTCAGTATATTTTTTAATTAAATTTAATGCCATCCAAAGAAGTTTGGATTGTATTTTGCTTCATTTAATGTCTGCCTAAGGACTAAAACCTTTATAGAAACATATGTTTACTGTAGAATATTTATAAATTCCTAAATTCATTATCATAACTATATATAAGAAAAATCAGATATATATACAAATAACAATGGCTTTCGGGTTAGTCCATTACTGTACATATTAGACAATGACATCATGATACTTCAGTGGTAAAAGAGCTTGACTTGTCTGGAGAAACCGTAGCGTCTGCTTTGAAGGAAATGGTTATGTATTCTCTTGAGCAGACTCTTTCTCCTGTAACCCCAGGGCATTTGAGTAATACTCAGCTGTGATATTAAACTCTTTACACAAACCCAGCTTCTTCATGTAACAGTTATTAAAATGTGACTTAAAATACCAAGATTAAAGAGACCAAGTAATTTACAAAATTGCTTAAACTTAGCATAAAAACAAACTAATGCCCTAGCTATACTACCTGTGTTCTACTAAAACTGCTGTGGTCTCCGACTTTCTTTCTCTGGCATAAGACTTTTTGTGAAACCCTCTCCTTTACTATTTAAGGTCTGTTTCCCTAAAAAATATCAGCTCTTATGTTCTAATCTTCTTCTAAAAAGCCTTTACCATTTCTTTTGCATATTCAGGACTATTTCAAGGTATACATCATGCCTAGGATTAGTTCCTATAACAATAGCTCCCATTGGAATATGCCTTTCTTTGAATAATAAGATTATTTATTTTTTTAGTTTGACATATTAAGCATTTTAGTACCTTGTAGACCCAAATAACTAATGTAAAAACCATATTGTACAAATAAGAAAGGGCATTTCTCTATTGTTTAAGCGATGACTAGCCAATCGCCATAGATTGTAAATTCAGTAAATGCAGATGCCATCTTCTGCTTTATGTCATTATTTTAAAGTATTTTGTATCTCTAAAGTGAGACCTTTATTTTAAAAGATTAGAGTTAAGAAAATTTTTTTAAAAAATAAAGGATCTCCGCACATTAAAATTTACTCAGAATATATATAGAATGACTGTTAGGCACTCATAGATACGTATGAGTGAATATTACAATGTGAGATTTTATTAACATTTCTCTTGTTCAAAGAGGAACCGTGGGGGCACTGTTGGATAAGGGTGGAGCTGTTAGCCACCACGTCGGCGGTTTAAGCCCACTACTGGTCCCGTGGGAGAAAAATGACACGATCTGAAGAAGTAAAAATTTACAACCTTTAAAATGCTGTAAAGCATTGTGATGAGTTGGAATCAACTCAGTGGCAGTGGGTTTTTGTTTGAGGATTTTGCAAAGGAAAAACATGTATAGATTTTTATATCCTTTATATTTATATATATATATATATATATATCCTTTTCTACTTCTACAGTAAACAGCACCAGTTTGAAATATTCTCGTACTTTAATCTTTATTAAAGAGCCCCGGTGGTGCAGTGATTACACATTGGGTTGCTAACTGTAAGATCAGCTCCTCCACAGAGGGAAACAGGGCTTCTTACTCCTGTCGAGAGTACGCTCTTGGAAACTCACAGGGCAAGGCTACCTTGTCCTATGAGGATGCTAGGCGTCAATCTCTGAACTCAAGGGCAGTCAGTTAATCTTTATTAAAAAATTATTTGACTTTGACTAAAATATGCCATATATATACTCCTATACTTTTATTTGCTAATATTTGATAATTTGTGAAAGCTAATCATTGAAATGTTCATGTAAATTCTTATGAATATTTAATGGTATTCATTCATTCATGTCCATTAATTTTACCAACTATCTATTGAACAACCTATATATTTAATTATATTTTATTCATTGTATGTCATTTTACTTGTCTTAATTTTGCCATAATTCTGTCCTCACACAGTTATAACCAAAAAGTGAGAAAGATCTGGTGATTTCTGTAAGCTGGTTTTTCTCTTTGGCTGCATATTGCAAACCTAAAACACGATGTCACAACCAAGACACTGACGTTGATAAAAGTAAAACACAAAAGAACGTCTCCCACCATCGTACGAAACTCTCACATTGGCCTTTTATAGATATCTCCAATCCCTCCTTCTCCCTATTTAATCTGGGAAACTACTAATGTGCTCTTTATTTCTTTTTATTGTTGTTTTCCCCTTTTATGTTTTATTATTAGTTTTGGATTTCATTGGGAGCTCTTACGGCTCTTATCACAATTCATACATACATCATTGTGTAAAGTACATTTGTACATAAGTTGCCATCATCATTTTCAAAACATTTTCTTTATACTTCACTCTTGGTGTCAGCTCATCTCCCCCTCCCCACTCCCTCCCTCCCTCCCTCCCTCCCTTATGAATCCTTGATAATTTATAATTTCTCTTTTTTATGTCTCATACCAACTGTTGTTTCACTTCACCCATTTTTATGTTGTCTATCCCCCTTGGAGGGGATTATATGTAGATCATTGTGATTGGTTCCCCCTTTCTCCTCCCACCTTACCCTTACCCTGCTGGTATTGCTACTCTCATTATTGGTCCTGAGGGGTTTATCAGTCCTGGATTCCTTGTGTTTTTAACTCTTATCTGTACCAGTGTACATGGTCTCATCTAGCCAGATTTGTAAAGTAGAATTTGGGTCATAATAGTTGGGTTACAGGGAATGCATTAAAGAACTAGAGGAAAGTTGTGTGTTTCACCGGTGCTATACTAAACCTTGACTGGCTCATCTCTTCCTTGTGACCCTTTTGTGAGGGGATGTCCAATTATCTATGGATGGATTTGGGGTCTCCACTCTGCCCTCTCCTCATTCACATTAATATGAAATTTTGTTCTGGGTCTTTGATGCCTGATACCTGATCCTTTCGACACCTCATGATCACACAGGCTGGTGTGCTTCTTCCATGTGGGCTTTGGTGCTTCTGAGCTAGATGGCCACTTGTTTATCTTCAAGCCTTTAAGACCCCAGATGCTATATCTTTTGATAGCCAGGGACCATCAGCTTTCTTCACCATATTTGCTTATGCACCCATTTTGTCTTCAGCGATTGTGTCAGGGAAGGTAAGCATCACAGAATGTCAGGTTATTAGAACCAAGTGTTCTTGCATTGAGGGAGTACTTGCGTGGAGGCCAATGTCCGTCTGCTGCCTTAATACTTAAATACATATATGTACATAAATCTATTTCCCTATCATTATATATAAACATATTTACATATGTACATGCCTATATTTAGATTTCTATAAATGTCCTTTGGCTCCTAGTTCATCCCTCTATTTCCGTTTACTTTACTCTTGCCCCACTATCATGTTCAGTCTTCATTTGGATTTCAGTAATTACTCTTGGCCACATTGCCTTTGATCAAGCCCCACCCTTGCACCCAATGCCCTCCTTGCCATCGATTTTAGATCACTTGTTATTCCCTTGTCCTTCGATTTGTTGACATCCCCCTTTCTTTTCCCACCTTCCCTTCTCTCATGTCCCCCAGAATAGTCAGTACCATTGTTTTCTCCTCCGGAGTGTGTATCCCATCCATCTTATCTAGATAGACATGCAGAGACAATAATAATAAAAAAAACAAGAGAGAGAAAAACCAAACAACAGAAGAACACAAAAAGCAATAACAACAACCAAAAAAAGACACTGACAAAAAAAGAAAAGCCTATAAGTAGTTCTAGGTCTGTTTGTTGACTTTTAAGAGTGTTTTCCGGTTGAGTCTGATGAAATGCCATGCCCTGACCCCAAAGTCTATTTTTGGTATTTCCAGGAGATTTCATTGTTTTGTTCCCCTTGCTGCTCTGTTGCATGCCCTTAGTGTTTCACCATGGTTTATGTGGTTAGATCAGGCACAATTCCCACACTATGTCTCCAGTTTTGTCCCCAGTAGTGCTATGGGTCAGTGAGGGACATTGTGTCTCCTCGTGGGGCCAGCCCTATAGTCCTCTGTGCATTGGCTGATCTGAGAAGATGCACCCCTCTCCCTGAGCTGTAGCTTCAGTGCTGTCCTCTAAAGTGCATTCTTCTGGAGCAGGGGGTGGGATTGTGGGGAGAACCAAATAGTTGGGATTGGGGCTGTCCCCCAAGATGCTCTTTATTTCTAATAACATCATATACTACCTTTGAGTATTTTTTTTTAATTTGGAACATGTTTCACATTCAACTTGGTTTATATATCAATTGTTCATTTATTTTGATTGCACTAGATTTCCCCTTACTTTTTCAAGCTTTTAAAGACTGCCAACAAATTTAGGCTATTGAGATTGTGGTAATAATCCCTTTTAGAAGAATTAATAATAGACTAGTCTCAAAGAGTTGAAGAGTAAAGATGTCCCAAATGTCCAACTCTTCCAAGATGATACTATCTTGGAAGAATTCCAAGATATTATTTCACTCCATTCTGTCTCTCCACCAGCCTTTTGCATGTCTTTAATCAAAGCAATCCTTATGTCCGCCAGGTATTCTATACTGTTTCAGATTAACATTCTGAGTGAGTTCAGGAAATTGTAATGGTTTTCATTTAGTATGTGTAGCAGACTTACACACCTAACATTGGTATTTTAAGGGGGCCATTATTGTCCCTATGCAGTATGCCTTCTGATCTCTTATAAATCATATCTGTACCCATTGGAAATGCATTTAATTACCTCATCCTAACACTCCCCAAAGTCTTAATTCCTTGCAATACAAACTCATATGCTAAAATATCATCCAAAGTTCATCATTTGAAAAATCCCAATTTGTAGCAACTGAATCACTTCGGAGCAAGCACTATCCATAATGCATCTTTGCACAAAATTCCTCTCCACTTATAAAACTAGAAAACCATTTATCTAGACACAAAATACAATGGTGGTACAGTCATAGGTACTATTTATGGACAAATTTATATGGAAAGTAAATAACTGAAGAAAACAGACTCTCTATCTCCATATATTTTCAAAGCAAAGCAACCACGTTAGCTTGTAAGACCTGGGAATGATCTTTCATGTTCTGTCCTCTGGACTGGGAGTTTTCAGACCTTGTAACCTAATGGATGTTTGGTTTATCTACCTTTATATATCAAATAACATTGACTGAAGACATGCCCTATACCAGTTGTACCACATTAACCTAACACAGAAAACCCATGCCAAACTGGGTTTGATTCTAATCATAGGTATGCTGTATACATAGAGTCATCAACTGATTCTGACTCACAGTGACACTATGAGACACAGTAGAACTGCCTCATTGAGTTTCTAAGACTGCAATCCTATGGGAGCAGACTGCCACATCTTTTTCTTGTGAATCCTCTATAGAGTTGTAACCATTGATCTATTGGTTAGTGGCCAAGTGCTTTAACCACTATGCCATAAGAGGTACATATTTTGGGAGGACACAATTGAGACCTTCACAATTGAAGTTCAACAACAGAATGAGAAACAGGAGTACAGTAGATGTGTTTGTAAGGGAGAGGTGTGTTTGTGTTTAAATGTGGATATATTCAAAGTATTTGGCTTCTGCATTTATGGGGGATGGATAAATTAATCTTAATTTCATAGATTCAGCAATCATCAAGGAAAGTTACAAACAGACTGTATTCTACTAGTTATGCCAGAATTTTCTTTAGACTAATTTTGTTGCATAACCAATTGCAGTAAGCTTACCATCATAAAACATCACCCGGTTATTATCTCACAGCTTCTGCAGATGGCATTGTGATACTCACAGTCCCCACTCCCCGGAAAGGGCCGGGTATCACACAGAGGAATGAATACTAGAGTGGGGAAAACGAGGGACCAACTTAGAACGTGGGCAGAAAGTGTCCACTGAAAATGAACTCATGAAGAAAGAAGAAGTTGAGTAGAGGAGAGGTTTTAAAAAGAAATTAAAACCTACCCTAAGGAACACTAATTTTTATAGGCTAGGTTGAGGCAGAGATCGTGCAAGATGGCCAAATTTGTAGGAAAATGAGAAAACCCCAAACAGAAAGACAAGTGATAGACTCAGCCGGAGAGCATTTCATGAGAGAGCAGTGTCGTCAGTATCAGCAGGATCACCAGTACTAACCTAAGAGGTAATCATGTGAGATCTTGCAAGGGCAGTTCTGCCAAAGAATTATTAACACATTAAAGACCAGATTTTTTTTTACCAATTTTACCCAAGTGGGCGGGTATTTTTTCAGCCGTTAGGGTTGTTTTGTTTTGTTTTTTGCATTAAACCATAAATGGGTTTACATCTCAACTTTTTATCATATTTATTTATAACTTTCAGTTTTTGAATATAAAGTATTCTCACATTATGAAACAATATTTTGCAATGTATGCGGAACATTACTTTTATGAACTAAAATCTTCATGAAATTATAAACTTGTAAAAATAATCAACATAATCCATATTACTTTGAAAAATTAGAAGAATTGGGGCTAAGAATTTCTTCATGCCTTTTTGTGTAATGGGAGACCACTTGAGCGATTTAGGTGATGTTTTACATTTCAGTGAGGCTTGATCATGATAAGTGCACAACTCCTTGCAAAACAATTCAAATAGTAACTATTTGATTTAACCAAAATGCACTAAAATGCTAAATAAACAAAAAGAACATGAAGACAATCGAGCTTGATGCATTCACTACTGATGTAAACACCTAAATAGATGAAGCAGTTAAAATATATCCAAGTAGATGGCATCTGAAGACCGCGTGTAGAAATCATGTTATCTCGTGATCCGACCATAACAGATAGCGCGCGAAACACGAGTAAACTCGGGATCCATCCACCGGGCCCAATCCAAATTGAAGATTGAGGAAGTGAGGACTTTTTAAAGTGCCTTTTATCAACTTCGTAATATTATATGATCTGTTACTTTTAAATCTGAATTTATTTTGTTTTATTTTTTTTAATGTTGTTTTCCAAGAATATTACAAGGAACTCTTTCTGTTAAAAATTCCTTTTTCATTCAAACCTCAAAGCATAGTATATCTCTCCCTTTTGAATGTTAAAGACAGATTTATGTATAAAAATAATTTACTGGGGTCAATAATCAAGAGCTAGCAGCTTTTATAGGACAAAATAAATGTTGTAAAAGGACAAACCATCTGCCCCAAATCACTACACACGCACACACACACACATGCTACACCACTGTCAGTTGGGGCAATTTCTTTAAAAATTAGGATGTCAGAAAAAGTTTACACAAGGAGAATAAGATCCTAGCTATCTGATTAGAGATTACATCTATGCACCAAATAAAGAAGTTCAAGTAATAAAAATAATGCTTCATTCGGAAATTTATTTTTCTTTTCTTGTGTGTAGCTACTTAAAGAATTTAAAGATGAAGACTGGAATATGGGCAATATAGTGCACACCCTTACAAACAGGCGCTACCTGGAAAAGTGTATTGCTTATGCTGAGAGCCATGATCAGGTAAACGAGGCATTCATAAAAGGAGTATATACATAAGTGCATTATAATTATATTTATTATAATATATAAATGAAAGTATCTCATGCTTACTGTAATTAATATTAACAAAATTTTTAATTGTATTTTTATATTAGTCTTACTTGAAAATCGTTTAAGAATTATTTTTCAAACTGAGAAAATCTAGTTTAAAACTACACTAGAATATTTATCCTACCAAACAGTAATTAATAATAGATTTTAAATTGTGGTTACAGTGTTATATGCCTTCCTTTTTTCCTACTGATAAATATTGGTCTTCACTCAAGGTAATTTTAGCTCCTAGTGTTTATTTTCTTTTATACATTTCCTTTTCTTTTCTTATTTTATTAATATCTCAGGCTAACATTTTTAAGCATTGCCTATTCTATCTGCTGCCTGTTTTTCTGAATAAAGCTATTCAAAACATTCTCATGTTCATTATTTTCATATTGCCCCTGGCTATTTTGTGCTATAATAATTTCAGTAGTTGAGACAGATAAAGTGGCCCACAATGCCTAAAAAAATTTTATTTGGCTTTTTATAGCTATAGAAAGTTTGTTGATCCCTGAAGTACATTCCAGTACAGAACAGTGCCTTCTTTTCAACTTTTTTAATAATAACAATCGTCATATACCACCTATGGTTCATTTGGGACCCCTGACCTTATATATATCCATGATCCCACAATATTTCTGGCTGGAGAACTCCTGTCTGCTACTCAGGGCTTCAGAACCACTGCTCCGATGTTTAAGATTATATTTCCAGATAAACTCATTTTTGGATAATAAAATAAATGAGCAAATAAAATAATCAAACAGATTTATATTTAAAAATTAAAGTTCTCTAAAACTTAAAATCATAAAAAAGTCTAGACTTATTGGTCAAATCAGGACTAGCTGAATGCCTGACACTCTGGGCCTTAATTCGTCCGCCTGTGGCTCAATTTACAGCCAGTGTCTAGACAGACATAGAAAGTGGATGCGAGCATCAGGGAGAGGTATATGTCTTCTTCAGAACCTGCAACCGAAGGAGATGAAAAGGGCAGCGTTTACCCAGGGCTGAAGCTCAGAAGACCCGAGTGGATAGGTAGGAAAGAAGGATAAATGGTAAGTGCAGAAAGAAAATGGGGTTTACAATCAATGTCCCCAAATAGTTTCCTTTGTAAACTTTCACTCAGTCATACATTATAAATAAAAACAAAATAAAATAACCCAGACTTCTTCCAAATTGTGGTTATATTGTACTACGGATAATTTATAAGTGAGATTTAGATGAACAAAGAATTTTAGTACTTTTTTATTGCCAGCTATTGATATTGCAGGAGAACGTTGGCATAGTGGTTATGCCTTAGACTGCTAACAGCAGTTACAACCAATCAACTGCTTCTGAGGCAAAAGAAGTGGCATTCTACCCCTTAGAGACTTACAGTCTTAGAAACCCACAGGACTGGTTCTACCCTGTACTATAGGGTCGCTAGGAGTCAAAATTGACCCAAGGCAGTGAGTTATAGTGAGATTCATATTGCACATAGCTTTAAATTCTTTTAAATTAAGTTTCTATAGGTCTTAAGTTGCTAGAAATGTAAAAGTTGAACCAGTGACTGTAAATTAGGTTTTTCATGGACAATACCAATTTTCCTATTAAAAATAAAAAACAAAACAAAACACCTTAGTCTTTTCACTCTTCTTTAGGCAGTGGTGGAACTATTGTAACATTTATGCCTATATGTGAAGTTGATATGAAGTAATCCTTATATAATAACATAGTTATATATGAGCATATATATGTTTTATTATATAAGACCTTTCAGAAACTTCATTCTTTTAAAAATATGGAAGAATGGTATGGTAACTATTTTAAAGTTCTCTAATATTTTCAACATTATAACATGTTCATTCCAATTATAGAAAATGTGAGGCATCAGCTCAGAACTACTGCTTACTCAGATATTTTTCATGTGTTTTCCACCAAAGTCTTATAAAAATAAAAATCAGCCCTGAACACAAGTTTGTCATGCTCACGTTAGCATAGGCTATAACTACTGGAAAATGCAGGTCACCTCACTACCATCTCGTAAAGACCCTGTAGGTCTGGGAAGAGCTGCCCTTGTGCATTTCCAAGACTAACCCTTTATAGGAGTAGAAAGCCCCATCTTTCTCCTAATGCAGTTTCTGGTGGTTTCAAACTACTAACTTTGTGGATCTCAGCCTAACATATACAGGTACTTAATGTGAATTCATACATCTCTCCTACATTTTTTTCCCATTCCAGGGAACCATGTATTACTCTAGTTTAAGCCACAACTGCTTAGTATGCATTGTTTGCATTTACCCACGTACTTTTATTTCTTTCTTTTTTTAATAATTTTATTGGGGGTGCGTACAATGCTTATTACAATCCATACATACATCCGTTGTATATCAAGCACATTTGTGCATCCTTTGCCTTCATCATTCTCAAAACATCTGCTTTCTACTTAAGCCCTTGGTATCAGCTCCTCATTTTTCCCCACCCTCCCTACTCCCCACTCCCTCATGAACCCCTGATAATTTATAAATTATTATTTTGTCATATCTTACACTGTCCAATGTCTCCCTTCACTCACTTCCCTGTTGTCCATCCCCAAGGTTATATGTAGATCCTTATAATCAGTTCCAACTTTCTACCCCACCTTTCCTCCACCCTCCCAGTATTGGCACTCTCACCACTGGCCCTGAAGAGACCATCTGTCCTGAATTCCCTGTGTTTCCAGTTCCTATCTGTACCAGTGTACATCCTCTGTTCTAGCCAGATTTGTAAGGTAGAGTTGGGATCATGATAGTTGGAGGAGGAAACATTTAAGAACTAGAGGAAAGTTGTATGTTTTATTGTTGCTATACTGCACCCTGACTGGCTCATCTCTTCCCCACGACCCTTCTATAAGGAAATATCCAGTTGCCTACAGATGGCCTTTGGGTACCTACTCTGCACTCCCCCTCATTTATAAAGATATGATTTTTTTTTATGCCTGATACCTGATCCCTTCGACACCTCGTGGTCACACAGGCTGGTGGGCTTCTTCCATGTGGGTTTTGTTGCTTCTGAGCTAAATGGCTGCTTGTTTACCTTCAAGCCTTTATGACCCCAGATGCTATGTCTTTTGATAGCCTGGCACCATCAACTTTCTTCACCACATTTGCTTATGCACCTGCTTTGTCTTCAGGGATCATGTCGGGAAGGTGTGCATCATGGAATGCCAATTTAATAGAACAAAGTGTTCTTGCATTGAGGAAGTACTTGAGTGGAGACCCAATGTCCATCTCCTGCCTTAATACTAAACTTATAAATATATGCACATAGATCTATCCCCATCATCATATATAAATATATTTACATATGCACATGCCTGTGTTTAGACCTCTATAAATGCCCTTTGCCTCCTATTTCTTTCTTCTATTTCCTTATAATTTCCTCTTGTCCCATTATCATGCTCAGCCTTCATTTGAGTTTCAGTAATTTCTCTCGGTTAGATTGTCCTTGATCATTTTTTACCAGGCCTCTCACACCGTCCTTACCATTCATTTTGGATCACTTGTTATTCCCTTGTCCCTGGGTTGGTCAATACCACCTTCTTTCCCCAACCCCCCACCTCTCCCATTACCCCCAGGAACCATTAGTCCTGTTGTTTTCTCCTCCAGACTGTTCATCTAGCCTATCTTATCTAGATAGACCTGTGAGAATTTATAAATTATTAATATTTTGCCATGTCTTATACTGTCTTACATCTTCCTTCACCCGCTTTTCTGTTGTCTGTCCCCCAGGGAAGGGGTTATATGTAGACCCTTATAGTTGATTCCCCCTTTTATTTCTGTAGGCCCTTGTCGGTGATAAGACACTGGCATTCTGGATGATGGATGCAGAAATGTATACAAACATGAGTGTGCTCAGCCCCTTTACTCCAGTCATTGACCGTGGGATCCAGCTTCATAAGATGATTAGACTCATTACTCATGGTCTCGGGGGTGAAGGTTATCTCAATTTTATGGGTAAGTATGAAATGAACACAGTCTAATCTATGTTTAAACTACTAACTACTATTACATATGATATAAAGCATATGATATATCTTGATTTTTGCATCAGATTTAAAATACAAAATCACATCCAACCCATCTCATGAATGGAATTTTGGGTAGTGGATGTATGTTGGGCTGTGATCCAAAAGGCAAAAGGACAGCAATTCAAAACCACCAGCAGCTCTGTGGAAGAAAGACAGGGCTTTCAACGCCCACAATGAGTTAGGTCTCTATGAGTCAGCATCCACTCAGTGGCAGTGAGCTGAAGTGATCTCAGTAAAAATAAAACTCATAACTTCATTTCTATAATAGACTTTGAAGTATTAACTGAAAAATATAGTAAATTATCATATGGTTATTGTTATTCTAACATAATTTGATATATAGTCTAAGAGCTTGTATTTAAAGTGATTTTAAAATTTGAAATTAATTATTATTATTTTGAATTAGTGATTCTCAACTTATCATAGGAGCTTTTACACATTGAAACAGAACATTTAAGTTGTTGGTTAAAATTGAAAATAGCACATTTGATGTAATTGTATGCCAATATTCTTTTTTTATAAATATGAAAACTGAGATCCTAGTAGTATAAATCAATAATTGCTTAAGTTTAATAATAGGGAAAATATGAATTATTTAAAGATCATTGATAAAATATAGAAATAAACTGATTTTCCTGTTCTATTTGTTCAACAATAAACTTCTGACTCTAAGTTTTAAAAGATTTCACTTGCTTTAGATTAAACAGAGACAAAAAAAAAAACCAAAAAGAAAATACAGACAAAATGCCACTAATTTTCTACAGTGAAATACTGAGTGCTGTAGAGTAATTCATTCCGCCTTCGATGTTCTCATTAGGAATCATGGATTGGACTTTTGAAAGTCTCTATAGCTAGTATTGCTTACTATTCCAAGTTAGGAAACCAGTGTTATCAAACCATGCACCAAATTTGACCTATAATACATCATTGGGCATGTCCCTCTCTTCTAGGGGTCAATAAAATATGTTGAAATATCTGGGCACCTTCCTGGCCTCTAGGAGACTCCACTGTGTTAGCTAGGCATCACGCCATGTTTCCTGGCTGGATTTTGCAAGCATTTAATCTATAAGTCAGTCAGTTTCTTAAAAGGCAGTTGGTCCCACCTAACTTCCAGAATGTTATTCATAAAGATGATGCTCCCAGCATGTCCTTGGTTACACAATCTATTTAAGCATATCTTGTTAAAAATGATGCAGAATACGATCCACCGTAAATAATGTGTTATAAGAATGTATGAACAAGAATGCACAAATAACACATCAAAGATATTGCTGCCTTCTCAATCCTAACTCAAGTGTAACTCAGAGTATAGCTGCCCAACAGGGTTTCCAAGAGAGATGACAGACAGGGTTTATAAGAGCAGGAAGCAGCGTCTTTCTCCCATGGAGGCACTGTGAGTTCTCACCATTGGCGTTTTAGTTAGCAGGCAAGTTTCCAAGAATGCATAAGAAGCTGTGAATGTTGGAGGTTAGGGAGAAACTTAAAAACATTTCATATTGTATACAAAAGGAGTATTTGTTAACAAATTTTAAAAAATAACAAATGGTTTCATTAAATATCTGAAAAGTAAAATAGTGTTGGACTGAAACCACCCATACAAGAAAGATAAGGCGATCTGCCCTCTACAGCTCTCCCCCTCTGTCTTAAAGGGGTGCTGTGAATTAGTATAGATGTCATAGTAATGGGATTGGTCAGTTTGATGGTAGACAATATATGGAACTAATCATACTCTAATTCAACAGTTTCTGCATGTAGCATTTTTTAACATTGATTGGATTCTTTGAGCTGTGCGAATATGTTTACCCTCCTTTTTAAAGGTGTTCCTTTCTCATTCTCAAAACTCATAGCCTCCCCTAAGATTCCCACATAGCTGCTGTGAGGAATTTTGTTTCATATAAATGGTCCTTTTCAGAAGCATAATGAATGTGGCAGCCCTGTTTTATTAGTTAAGCTAAACTGTTGTTGAGTTTTAAGATGACTTGAAGGGATGTTTTTGATTTAAAGTTTAAACATTATCGCAGGGCAATTATTTTAGGGGTCCATCCACCTTCTACGACTCCATAAAGTATAGATTTTCTAAGAATTTGAATTCTGTTCTAAGTTTTCTCGATTTTGATCAGGCTTTTTCATGGAATCTTTGATCAAAATGTTTGGTAATTGTAGCCTGCCATCAGCCAGTTCTAGTCTCATGACAAATTAGGCAGTTGTTCATGAAACCTTTTAGCCACTCACTCAACACCACTCTCCTATTCCTAATTCTCCTTCTTCTCCTAAGTTTCTCCTTGTGTGTATATACCATTCATTTTCAAAGTTTTAATAAGTATTAATATAAAGAATTTAAGTGGGCAGCTCAAAAAAAATTTTTTTTTTAAGCAAAAGGGAAGAAATGTATTGGAGCCCCAACGGGAAACCCTAGAGGGGCCCAGCATCCCCTCCTGTGCAGGCATGCCCAGCAAAGGGACACAACATTCACTGCACCCCCATGTCCCAGAGGGTCTCCCCTTGTGCCGAGCCCCAAAGCCCCAGGACTGGTGGGGGTGGGGACAGCATCTTAAAAATTTGAACTCATTGCTAATGAGCTGATTCTGACATAATAGCAACCCGATATCTGGAGTAGAACTGCCTCTGTGGGTTTCTGAGGCTGTAACTCTTTATGGAAACAGAAAGCTTCATCTTTCTCTCTGAGAGCACATGGTAATTTCAAACCGCTGACCTTGTGGTTAGCAGCCCAACACATAAGTGGGCATAGATTTCTATAATTTCTACAGTACACCCAAATATATCACTTAATTTAATGTTCATAATATTTGACTCTGTATATCCAATGTCTACTTTCAAAAGGAATGTAAGATGGAAACTTTAAAAAGTACTGAGCAAGTTAGATCTTATTACAATCCCGTTTCACTAAAACTGAACTTCAGAGAAAGGGATATGCTGAATGTTTTCCTTCCTACCAAACCATCAAGTATCTTATTTAATAATTAAAAGAAAAAAAACCACACTATTTCTAGACTTTTCCTTTTCAGGGACTGACATATTTAGATTCATAGTATAGCCTTTTTTTCAGAAGGGGGTTGTTTGGTTTTCTCCTTGGTTTGATGTCATCTTCTTTTGTTTCCTCACTTACAGATGAAACAAAACATTACATCCAAATGCACGGTGACTTGAGCCACTTTATCACTTTCCGTGTTGTCAGGTTCATGCTCGTTGTGTTCAAAAGATCTCTCGAGCAAAGTGAGAAGTGTTTTTGCAACAGGAGGTTTGCTTTGACTTTTTTTTTCGTTTTCTTCCTCTTGGGGATTGTGCTATAGCAGACCTCTTTCAATGAGCTTACCTTCCTCTGATTTGAATTTTCATGTAGCATATTATATTAGGCATGTCTCAAAATATAAATGATTTGGGTTTCTCAATTTAAAAATTATTGAAGTATCATACCGACTGCTCAGCAGGAGAAAGACGAAATTGTCTACTCTCATACAGATTTACAGCTTCAACCCCGCTCCCCTGCCCAAGGACACGTCTCCTCTATCCTACGGAGTTACTTGGAGTCGTAATTGACTCCATGGCTGTGAGTTTCATTTTATTTTGAAAGCATTTTTAAAAGATAGAGATCAGTGACATAGTTGTGCTTCTGACTACAAGCCACTCTGTGAGAAAAAGATGAGGCTGTCTTTTCCTATATTTATGGTCTCCGGAACCTGTGGGCCACTTCTGTTCTGTCAGATAAAGTGACTAGAAGTTGGGATGACTTATATAGCGATGGGTTTGGTTTTGCAGTGAGAAATTTGGACAAAATTGTTAGTACGAATACTGGTGGTTCCTACATTGGCAAATGTTTAAAATTTGGCTAGAAGTGCCTTAGATGATCGGCTGGTGATCTTATCTGAATAATATGCCATCAGAATCAATTCAAGGGCACCTCAATTCAAAATTCAAACTTTTAAACACAGATTTCATAAATATCAGAATGATTTTAAAGTATTTCCATCTAGTAATATTTGTGCTACTTTATAAGACGGCTGCCTAGCCAACTGACTGAAATAAATCCATTTTGTTCTGATTGCAAAGAAAGGAGATACAACTATATGCAGAAATTATCTAATAATATTGATATTATCACATTCAAGTAAACTTTTACTGCATCAAGGATGTGTATTTCCACCATATTTATCCATTCTGCATGTTGAACAAATAATCTGAGGAGCTAGATGATGTGCAGAACAATGCTACATCAGGAATAAAGGAAGGCTCATTAACAATCATCATATGTAGCAAATACAACCTTTCTTGCCGAATGTGACTAGGGCTTGAAGGAATTATTGATAAAAAGACTATAATCTTCAGTATTGATTACACCTAACATAAAGAAAACAAAAATTTAGCAACTTCACCAGTGCACATGTTATATAGAGAAAAAAATTAAGTGTCAAGGATTTCACTTTACATAGATCCATAATCAACATCCGTGGAGGCTGCAGTCAGGAAATCAAACAACATATTGCATGGGGCAATTCTACTACAAATGATCTCATTAAAGTAGGAATGATGGGGAGCATCCTGCCCCTGCACTGCTGTAAGGTCTGTGAAATCATCAGTACCAGCTAACATCACACGCCTGACCAAAGAGGCAGTTCCAGCCATCACGTCAGGGGGGGTTAATTAAATGTTTGACCAGTATGGCTTATGACTAATGTGATACTTATCTATATGGCCTCCTATTGAAGAAAGATTTCCCATCCCTATTCTAAAGTGTTAAAAGCAAAGATATCACTTTGAAGACTAAGGCATACCTGACCTAAAATGTAGTATTTTCAGTCATCTCATGAGCATAGGAAATCTGGAAAATGGGGGGAAAAAATCACCAAAGAAATGATGTTTTTGAATTACAGTGTTTGCAAAGTTTATTAAATACCATGGACTTCCAGA